AATCGCCCCAATCCGGTCCAAGAGGCCCTCAAGAGGGCCCTAAGATTGCCTAAGAGGACGCCACGACGGCCTGAGGACCGCCAAGACGGTCCAGACGGCCACCAAGCGACCAAAAGCAGCAGGGAGCCCCGAAGGGAAACCCAAAGATGGCCCCAAGAGGCCCCCCGAGGCATTCCCAAGAAGCACCCAGAAGCCTCGAACGGCCCCCATGTCGCCCCCGAAACATCCCCGGATGCCGCCGAGAAGACACCCAAGCGGACCCCCAGCCGACCCCCCAACTGGAACCCTCGAAAACCAAGTATATCCCCTCTAGCCCCCTACGTCCAAAGAGGGTTTTATTGCTTTCTCTGCACACACACCCCGCGCAGGATCTCCTCCTCCGCCTCCTCCTCCTCCTCCTCTCTCCTCCTTTTTTCCCCCCACCATCCCCATCATCGTCATCATCAGCATCAGTATCATCGTCATCATCGTCATCATCGTCATCACCGACACCGCGACATCATTGTCACCATCACAGTCGCCATCCGTTTCACCATCATCATGATCCCCATCACCATCATCACACCATCGCACACCACCATCGCTGGCACACACACACACCTATGCTCATCATCATCATCATCATCATCATTATCATCATCATCAGCATCATCATTATCACCAACATCATCACCACTCGCATGCGTTCACACTCACCATCACCATCGTCATCATCATTACGTCATCACCATCAATCATCACTGCCATCATCCCATCATTGCTGGCGGCAATCATCAGCAGCATCAGCAGCATCATCATCACCACACCATGCTTTTACACTCGCCATTACCACACCAACATCACCACCACTGTCGTCACAATCATCACCACCACTTTCGTCATAATTCACACGCGCGTGCATTCATCTTGAGGACGTCTCGAGCGGGAGCCTCGTCTGTGAGCGAGTTGCGATGAAGTCTCAGGCGGGACCCCCCTCCCTACGGGGCCCGCACCTCATATTTTTATCAGAGCGGGTCATCGGATGCTTGTAACAGTTCTCATTTTTGACCTCTTCAAGCTCGAGTATGGAGGAAGTCTCAAGCGGGAGCCTCGTCTGTGAGTGATGTGCGAGGAAGTCTCAGGTGGGAACCCCCTCCCTATGGGGCCCGCAGCTCATGTTGTTAATCCGAGGGGGTCGTCGGAGTCCTAAAAACTGTCGTCACTCTTTGCTTCTTCAAGATTGAGTATGGAGTGTCAGGCGGGAGTATCGATTTGCGAGGAAGTCTGCGGGAGCCCCCTCCATATGGGGCCCGCAGCTCATGTGACTCATCCGAGCGGGCTTTCGGAATCACATAATTGTCGTCACTTTTGGCCTTCTCAAGCTTGAGTGCGGAGGAAGCCCCAGGAGGGAGCCCCGTCTGTGAGTGAATTGTGAGGGAGTCTCAGGCGGGGGCCCCCTCCCTACGGGGCCCACCGGTCATGTTACCAATTCGAGCGGGTCGTAAGAATATTGCATTTGTTGCCATATTTGACCCCTCAAGCTTTAGTATGGAGGAAGTCCCAGGCGGGAGACCCGTCTGTGAGTGAATTGCGAGGAAGTGTCAGGTGGGAGCCCCCTCCCTACGGGGCCCGCAGTTCATGTTAGTGATCCGAGCGCGTCATCGGAATCACCCACCAGGCATACCACGTGAGCACCCCAAATGGCCAAATCCTGAGGATGTCTGGAGCGGGGGCCTCTTTTGTGATTGAACTGCGAGAAAGTATATGGCGAGAGCCCCCTCCCTATGGGACCCGCGCTTCACGTTGGTAATCCGAGCGGGTCATCGGAAACATTTACCGGCCATCGGCGAACGCGCCCTTTCTGGCCGTGGCGACGAGGGTGCCGATGAACATCGACATTCGTGCCCTGGCCAGAAGGAAGGAAAGGTGCATGAGAAGACCAGGCGGGATGGAGAAAAAGGAAGATGTGGAGGGCAAGGAGGAGAAGGAAAAGGACGAAGAGAAGGAGGAGGAGGGAACATGGAACGAGGATGACGAGAAGGAGGGGACGGAGGACGAGGAGGAGGAGGAGGAGGAGGAAGAGGAGCAGCAGGAGGCGCAACAGAGGGCGGGAGGGGGGCCTCCGCCAGGGCGGAGAGGAACAAGCGAGGGGCAAGCTACATACGATAGGTTCGCGTCGTGTCGACCGGCGGCGACCCCGCCGCCGACGTTCAACGTTGAACGCCGACGGCGGCCCAGAATCGGTCGATGTTGAACGATCGGACGTTGCGGCAGCGGCCGATCGTTCAAGGTTGAACGATCCCTGCGGTGTCAAAAACCAACGCTGGGGTCGGCACGACACGAACCTGCCGTAGATTCTCGTGTGGGGCCCTTTCGTCGGAGCATTTCTGTTGCAAGGGCTTCAGCGATCCCGCCCTTCAGGTTTCCAGCATTTCGAGACAGCCCAAGAGGCCCCCAAGCTCGGTCCAAAACGGCCCCACGTGCCCCCGATAATCCCAAGACGGCCCAAACATGGCCCCGAGACGGGCCCCCAAGACGGCCTCAGCAACCTCCCATACAGTCCGACGAATTCGAAGAGTACCCAAGAGGCCTTCACGCACTTCGCAAGACCGTTCGAGTCGCCTCCCAGCCGACCCAAGACTAGCCGACCAGCCCAAGAAGCCTGTCGACTTCCCGTACGACAACACCTGCCTACACAGTGTCGATTTGCTTCGGAGAGGGCCTGCACCTGGCCACGGGTCGCGCCAAGATGGCCCAGAGGGCGCCCAGCACGGCCCACGGGGCCCCAGGAAACGTGCGCACCCAGGTGGCCGAGATCATTGTTGGATGTCCGTTCGTGGGGGCCTTCAGTTGCGACATGGAAGCCATTTGTTGTCTGCATGTGGACCGCACGTGGCCCTTCCTCCTGCTCCTCCTCGCTCTTCCTGTTCCCTCTCCCTCCGTTCTTCTTCGTCTCCCCTGCGAAGTGGCGAAAGTGGTCAAAATCCATTCTCAAATGTGTTCCAAAAGCGACAGCGAGGCCCGCCTCCTGTTTCTTCCTCCCCCGCTGTCCTCCATCTTGTCCTTCTTTCCCTCCCCCGTTGCGCGTAATGCAGGCCGCCGCTTAGTTCGTCGCGCCCTGTGACGCCGCCCGACTGCTGCCGGCGCGGTCGCGAGCAAAAAGAAGTATTCCACCAGTCTGGCGTGCTCGGCGTTCGACTTTGCGCCGCGCGTCCGCGTACCAAAAAACGTATCCCCGCCAGCCCCGTCAGAGACCTTGCCCACGAGACTTGACGGGAACGGCGACGACGAGACGCATGTGGTGGAACAGGCCTTGGCATCGCTCGGACGTGTGCGTTTTTTCCTCGTCGAGGACCATCGAGGACCACGCACGAAACCGAACAAAAAACACAGGGAATGGACGTCCGAGCGATGGCGAGCGGGCGTGCGACCAGGGTGAAAAGAGAGATCAGTGGGAGCGAGGGGGCGGCCATGGAGGGCCTCTTCGGGCCATCCCCGGGGCCCGCGCGCGGGCGAGGGACATGAAATGATGATGATGACGATGATGATTATGATGATGATGATGATGATGATGATGATGATGATGATGATGGTGATGATGATGATGATGATGATGGTGATGATGATGATGAGGAGGAGGAGGAGGAAGAGGAGGAGGAAGAGGAGGAGGAGGAGGAGTATGAAGAAGAGGAGGACAACGACGACGACGACCACGACCACGACGACGATGGAGAGGAGGAAAAAGGAGGAAAAGGAAGGCGACGGTGGCAAGGGCGAAGAGGAGGGGGAGGACGAGGAGAGGACAACGAGGACGAGCCTTTTTGGGGGCTGCCTTTGGGCCCTCCTGGGCCCCCCCTGGGGGGGCCTTTGGGATCCCTGGAGAGCATCTTGGAGATATCTTGGAGGCCATCGATCAGAGGGGGGGTATTCGATTTCCCCCCCCGGCCCAATGGAGACTATCAAATTGCCGCCTGGGCACCAAAAAACGACAATGACACAGTTGCTTTTCGGTGTGTCATGTATTTCAGCGTTCTTGCCGTTTCGTGCGTTTCACGCTCAACGACTGCCGAATACCCCCAGTATCGCTCCAAGACAGCCGAAGACGCCTAGAAGCGCCCCGCGACGGCCCCCTCCAGAGGGTGGGGTGGGGCAACAGAAGCTCCTCCTCAGGAGGGGGGACGGGGGCTGTCCACGGGTTCGCGGTCGTCGCGTCGTCGTCCACACGAATGTACGACAACGAATGCGACTGCGCACGGATCCCCAAGAAGGCTCACGAAGCGCCTAAGGAGACCGAAGTGGGTCTCAAGTGGGGCCCAAGAAGGCGAACAGGAACCGAAAACGAAAGCATTCCGCCCTAAGAGGCCGCAAAGAGACCCTCAAAAGACCCTACAGAAGCCCGAGGAGGCTTCAAATCGACACCTCAGAGGCCCCAATACAGCCTCCAGGACCCGAGAGGCCACCCACGAGACCCCAACGAACATGCAAGAAGCCTCCGACCCACACCCGTGGCACAGAGGCAGAATGAAGCGAAGACTCGTGACGTGCATGCGCAGTTACATTGTACACATGACGATGGCAGCGGCGGTAGTCGCGTAGCATGGCAGACATGGCGGTGATTGCGGTCGCGAGAGCCCCCGTGGTACCAGAGGCAGCCGCGGCGCAATTGTGACTATACCTTGATGGCGCAAAGCGCGCGCATGGTCCTACTAGTATGTATATGTATGTATGTTTGTATGTATGTATGTATGTATACAAACATACATATACATCAGTACGAGAAGGGAGAGACGGAGAGTGAGAGGAACGCACTGTCCATCTATCTATATTGTTCTATCTCTCAATCCACTTATCTACATGTCTGTCTGTCAGCATACGCATCCACACAGACATGTGTATGCACCCGTATCTGCTCATTCGAAGACGTCTGTGTCTGTCCGAATGCAGCGAAATATGGATAGAGAAGAGAGAGAGGGAGAGAGAGAGGGAGACATGGAAGGAATGGCGCCCCGCCGCGCGGACAG